GGTTATATCTCAAATAAAACAAATAACTAGTTGAGGTGAAAGCTGAAAGGTTATCTAGGATCATTCAAAAATAAATTATAATCAATAGCATATGGTTATCAGTTTACAAAACAATTTGCACATATTCCCTAATTTGATAGAAAACAGCTTACCGGTATATTTATCTCAGTGTGAATAGACAAACAACTGAAAAGTCAAAAATAAAGCAAATTTTTAATAATTTAGTGTGTTCACACACCATTGTGTACCAAGTTTGAACCCAACTAGACACACAGTACAAGATATAAGCAGAAATGTGCAAAAAAGTTGAATATAGCCGATCTTAGATTTGATTAGGATACAAATAATCTTTTGATGCGCTAGAACACAATTGTCTGTGAACAAAATTTGGATCTAATTAGACAGTGTAAATTTGAGATACTGTTTGAGCCAAAATGTGCAACAAAAAAGGGAAAATAGCTGATTTTCATCAAACAAAATGACTGCTAGTCACGTCAATCATATTGGATAAAAATCCAATACTTATGACTTATTGTAGACTTATTAGTCATATTATGATAAATTAACAATCATACTAAATAAACTTGGTTGACATTTTATGATGATTGGTAAGATGTTTCTGTTATTGTAACAAGAAGATGACCATATGAGGCATAAATTTTCACCCATATCTTATATTTGATAGAGACCCCAAACTGGTTGAAAAGATACACAACTTTGACTAACATTCTTGAAAAGTGAAAAAAGAAGTGTTTACATGAACAGCAATAACAAGGACGTTTTCTCTTTACATTTTGAATCATCACAACACGATTCCATGATGTTCTATATCAGCATAAGGTTTGACTATAATCTATCAGGCATGTCCTGGAATAGCAGAAATGCTTGATTTGGCATTTTTTGTACATAGAAGTGAACTGTGTGTGAAGGTCAAGTTTAAACTTGATTAGCTGATGCATGTCTGAGATATAAGTGTGGGTGGAACCACACACACACACACACCAATAAAAGAATCTGTCAGTACAGGTAATAAAGTACAAAATCATTCACAGTCAAATATCCAATACCCATGCAAAACACAAAGCATAGTATGTCTGTCAATACCAGTATTATGGCATTTTGAAAGTACAACCAACTTCTACAAAGCATTTTGAGCTTGAACTTCACAGAGACAAGTTTGCCTCGGTGTCCTTTAATAATCTCTATATATCCAATGATGCTAAGACAATTTTATAAATTTGGACTTCCAAAATGCATGCCATCGCAACTGTAAGGTTCAACCCCTGACTCTGATACAAGATGTTTGGGTATATGATGGGAAATTGTTCACACCAGTGTAGTCCCATAGGAAAGATGTTAAGAAAAGATATTACACAAAGAATCCAACTAGAGGCAGCGTTTAAGTTACTAGTGATTTGACTAGTAATTTTGTCATGCCCAATAAAGCATACAACAAGATTGATTCGCAAGTAGATAGTTCTATTCGTTCTTTTGTCAAAACAGTAAACAATAATCTCAATGAGTGTTATTGATATTCAACTTGAGTAGAACTCTAATAAGTATTACCGGGTAAGATAAAAAAAATTACAAGTTTTGCCTCTCCTCATCCCACAAGTTACTTTAAAACCTGCTTCTTATGCATTTTTGTTTGCAATATATGGCAATAAAGTGCACATATGGTAGGATTGAGAAATGTTTGTTTTTCTGTTTGAAAGGATAATTTGACAATCCAAATCAACCTTTAATGAATGTATTAAATAGTATTACCTAATAAATGCTAAACATTGAACTTATATCTTGTTTCAGTTTGGAGTGAAACAAGCAGGTTGTTAGCTTAGTTTTGCTGTATAATTGAAAATAAAATAATATTCACTAAAATTAGAAAATTAAACTTCTCATAACAAAATGAGCAAACCTGACTGAGGTCCACCAAAAGTGTCTACATATAAAATATCAAGCATTTGGGCTATCCATTTTAAAGAACAAGTTGAAAATAGCATTTTTACTATTAATGACAAAAGAAGTTAGCACAGATAAACATTGACAATAAAGAAATAATACTCATTACAAATAATGTTTGACCAAGCCTGGTTGATGCCAGGATAGCACATTAAAATTGCCCTTTGATAGAGAGATGGTCACACAGCCCTGTCATGTAGTCCCAAACATGAATATGACTTCTGTGGCAAAAATGCACTATATGTCACCACTAGCACTTGCAATTTACACATACAAAAAAAAAAAAAACAAGCCATGCATGGCACAGTCTCCGGTAGTTATCAAATTTAAGATATATAATTTTGTTTATAGTAATATAGTTGGAATATAAACATGTCAGAAGTATGAATCCAGAAGATGATGCTTGATTTATGATGATTTGTTATCATTAAAATGATTGACATCTTGTATCTGATCGTCAAACGAGTACTTGTCCATATTGAGAAATATTGCTCTGGAACAGCATTAATTAAAACAAGCCATGCATGGCACATTCTCAGTTATCAAATTTAAGATATATAGTTTTGTTTATAGTAATATAGCTGAAATATAACCATGTCAGGAATATGATTTTTTTTACATTAAAATGATTGACATTTGTATCTTATCATCAAACAAGTACTTGTCCATATTGAGAGATATTGCTCTGGAACAGCATTCAAAATCAGTCATTTTGAATACATGTATATATATATATATATATAACATGATGTATAACGAATATATAAAATTTGAATATAATCAGTCAAAGCATTTATAAGATATGGCTCTAGAAGCCCAATCATTAAAACAAAATGGCCGCCAGTCAGCCATTTTGAATCCAATCTGAAAAATTAAATGACGTGCACCAGGAACCTGTAATGTCTAATGTATGTTACAACTTTGACCAAAATCCATCCATAAATGCAAGAATTGATTGATATTTGATGATTTTTTTAGCACAAAAATAGCCACCATTTGGCCACTTTGGAAAGGATCGTCAAACCAATATATCCGTATATTTATGACTTGAAGTATAATGAATATTTAAAATTTGAACATAATCAGTCAAAACAAGTCAGAGATATGGGTCTAGAAGCCCATTCATTAAAACAAAATGGCCACCAGTTGCTTGATTTTAATGATTTTTAGCACAAAAATGGCCGCCATTCAGCCATCTAAAATCAGATCTTGAAACAAATTGACTTGCATATGCATAATATCATATATGATGTATGTGTAAAGTTTGATTGTGATTGGTCCAGGCATGTCTAAGATACAAGTCTGAACGTACACACGCATGAACGCACACACGTGTACACACGCACACATGCACGCATAAAGGTCTAAAAACACAAGTCCTCGTTTTTGGGACTTAAAAGTCAGAAGAGACAACAGTGTCATACAATGGCCGGTACTGTCGCCTGGCACAAAACATTTTTAAAAAAAAAAGAAGAAAAAAAATGCCCTTTCAAACCACACTTCAACGTAAGCATAGATGTGATTTATTTAGACATGTCATGTTATATATAAATATATATGGGCATTTTTTATTCTTGAATAATTTTGATTTTTGCAGAAAAAATCAGCAACAAGTCATCGTCAATATGTACAGTGCCCATATTTATTTGAATGCATTTGATTTGAGGACATAAAATAAAGAAAAAATAATGTCAAGAAAATTTTGAGACAAAAACAATTGGTCAATCATTTGTTAGCCTTTGTACCAAATATAAATAAAATCTGTAATAATGAATCTGAGAACTAGGTAAGAACACTTGTGAACAAGCAGCCTGTCGGCTAAGATAGCTTGCTGTTAGCAATGCACATTTCAACTGAAGAACTGAAGATATCATTAGAAAATTAACAATATGTATAAATATTAAAGCAATTGGACTTGAAGTTGAAAATATATCACTTTTCACCAAAAATAACAAAAATATCCATCAAAATTGGAAAATTGAAAATATCATCATGAAATAAACAAATCTGTGAGAGGCCCACATGTACCTAGTACTTATATATGTAATATATATGAAGGCAATTGGACTTGCGGTTTTTAACAAGCAGTTGAAAATAAAGGAATCAAAATATCACTTTTTACCATAAAATGACAAAATATTCATCAAAATTAGAGAATTGAAAATATCATTACAAAATAAACAAATCTGAGAGAGGTCTACATGTAGTACCTATATATATGATTGGTCGAAATGGCTCTGATGTCTTTGTAGAGCATCTTCCTTAAAACAAAGTTGATAATGTTCTATACAATGAGATATTAACTATTTGCCATGGTTAGTGTTCCCACAATGCTTTTGTCATACCATGGTAGTTTATTTTGATGTTGACATGGCAATCACAATTGTTACTATCTTGCTACAATTCTTCTCATAGGTCAATCTAATCAGACCCTATATACCAAGTATCAAAGCTACTGAGCAGATAGATTTCAAGAAGATGAAAATGTAATTGTTGATGAATGGCTGGACGGAGGACAGACAATCACCATATGAACAGCTCCACATTGTTAGTTGGCCATTTTGAATCAATTCATGAAACAAATTGATGTGCATCAGTAACCCACTATGAGTGATGTAAATACAAAATTTGAATGAAATCGATCGATCCAGGCATGCCTGAGAAATGGTTGATACATTCAAAAGAGCAGTCAAAGATCAACAAAACAAAAAACTAACTGATAGCATATACCTTATGACTTGTCTTTCTACTAACTTTGAATATAATAATGTCAACATGGACAGACGGATAGCCGGATGGATGGATAGAAGGACAGATGAATGGCCACAATATGGGTGTTGGTGCAGAATGAGTGTAACCACTTGCTGGCAAACCAAAGTTGTCTATTGCAGCTTTCCTACATTCTAATCAAGATGCATGTGTTGACACATTGCTAATGCTGATTGCAGATTTAATTAAGAGTTGTTTAATCAGTGAATTTTCCTGGTGTTTAATATCAAATTTAGACATACAGATTTAGTAATACGTGATAGAGATCTTACCTGTTTGGGTTCTTTGCATTTACTGACTTGAACAACAAAATCTCTTTGCGTTTTGAAGGCTGCAGCAACCATGACAGACTGTGGAAATAAAGACACAATATTTGATCTATAACATGTTCTGTTATTGGTGTCCTTCATTTTAAATGTGTGTACACAGTAGTCACATACTGCCAAAATAATTATTTTGGGACTGGCTGAATTCAATTTCTGGTGTCAGTAACCCACAGAGATGTACAATCTAAATCAGTAACCTGCTAGTAATGACAAAGCATAAGATTTTGATAATGGCCAATGCTTCTATGAATGAACTTGAATACAAAAATAGAATTAGGCATGAAATGGGATAAGTGAGAATCTAATGTGACTTACATGTTCTTTGACTTCTCCACCAATGTCTGCACTCAGCTTAAGATATACATCCAGGGATCCGCTTATTAGATCATCATATGCTTCCACAGAGGCCACACTTGCTTTACCTGAAACTATTAAAGACAGGGCAACAGTCAATTCACTATCCCAT